GAAAATAGAATTTATTAAAAACCCAAATTATTATTGATAATTTCAATACTAAATATTTATTAGAATACTTGATAACTTAAATAAATATATGAATTTATTAGTCATAATATTAAATTTTAAAAAAATATAAATAGAATTTATTAACAAACACTTAGTAATTTGATTTTCTAATAAATAATGTTTTTTAGATTTGAAAATAAAGCATAATTTGAGTATTTTATAATAGAAATATAAAAACAATTTTTATTAATTTAATTTTTTTATAAGAAAATTTTAGGAATTTTTTACCAAATATTAAATTTAAGTAATACATTAACAAACTATAATTTTAGTATTTTATTTTACAAAAAAAAAGGAAACAAATCTTAAAGTCTATATTCATGATTATAAATGATATTATATTGTTTGATTACCTTTCTACCCCAAAAGATGCATTTATTGGGAATCATCTTCTTAAGTTTAACAACTATGAATATAGACTATTTTAAAACTCATTCATCATATTCTCTTTAATCTTCTTTAAGGATTATATTGTCAAAAATATTATTATTTTTTTTTAGTGGAACTACACATCCAAGAATTTATATAGGAGTCCTTTTATTTTGTCTTCCAGTATTCTAAACTATAATTGTTTAATTCATTAAATCTTACATCCTTAGATAATATTCTTCAATTTATCAGTGAGAATTGATATCCTTTAGTCATATAATCTAGCTCTTTTTAATTGTATGATGTTCTTATAAATAACCATGTCACAAATTGTTCAACCATTTCGTAAATATTGTCTTATACAAGGTCGATTTACTTATGTTCTCCTTCAATTAAGATTTGAGTAAGTATGAGGAAGTTTCAATATGATCTATCTATCTCTGTTCGCTTTCCAAATCACTTTTCCTTTTTGAAAATTATATCATTTTATAGATCTATTATATTTTCCAAAATTGAATTTGCCACTTTAGTGATTCTTAATCTGACATCTTCTCCTCTACTACTTTCTCAATTATCTTGATAAGCCTTCGACTCTTTGGCTCTCAGCAGATTGTTACCGATTAGAAATCTTTTGGGTGACTATTTGTTTCTTTCCTCCTCTTGCTTTGCAGATATAATTAGACCAATTTTAAGCAATTAATTATCTAATAAATTACATTTATGCGTTTTTGTTGGCAAAATATTAGCTGTGGAGATCAATTAAAATTTGACATATGTGATCCTAGAAACTGAACAATAAACTAAATTAATAATATGTTCTAGAATATGAATGGGGCCAGTTAAAATAAAATCTGAGTCTCCCTACAAAAGTGCGCTAACTTAAAGCGTATATAAAATATAATTTGTTAGTACATTATCATATTATAAGAGATCTTGATTTAGTTGGCATTTGCTAAAATAGAGACATAGAAATTATTTAGTAAATATATTTTAGAAAATACAGATAAGATTTTAAAATATGTAAGTATATTCAATGTTTAATGGATGAGCTACATTCTTTTTATCAGTTTCATGTGCATTTGTATTGATTGCCATATCTATGGTTAACGATAAAGAGCACAGAGATGAAAAATAGAAGCCACGAAGCAAAGATGACTAATAATATCATTTTTATTTTTATTATATTAACTAAAGTGAGTATTTAATATATTAACATTCATTGTACCATAGTCATAATATTATCTTATAAGAATCTGAATTTGAGTTTTTCATTCTTTTAAATAATAGACATAGGGATCATATTCAGCATTCCTTTAGTCATCCAAATCTAAATACTCAATTTAGTCAAATAGGCATCCATATTATAAAAACAAG